AATGGCGTCCAGTTCTAAGTCTGCTTTTATTAGTGATGATGATATTGCTAAATATGTCAATGTACTAAAGGTTTCCTTAAATTTTTGAATATGTAACTTCATTTACTTGCGATTCATAATTTTTTTCCTAAACTGCTGCAAAATCAGCAAAAATGCCTCGGCAATTTTAGCATAGTTCCTAGGATATTGGTTGGCACTCAAAGGGTTAAGAACATGTGCACGAGCTGCTCGGAAAGAGAGCTCTGCCTTCCGTGGTCTTGGGACAGAACAGCCACTCAAAGCAGATCAGGCGGGTCCAGTTCCAGGCACAGCAGTCTCCCCTCCCTGACCCCCAGAACCACAGATCACCCCAAGTCAGCACTCCCACGCTCCAGGTGGGGACTGCCTCTGCCCCGCCCACCAGGGGGCCAGCCTTCCTCTGCAGAGTGGGAGGAACCACTTGCCCAGGAGGACCACAGTGAGAGGAGGACAGGATGGGGCACAGGAGCAGGGTCCTCGCTCAGAGCCTGCAGCCAAGAGGCTGGTCTGTTTCCTCCTGTATAAAGGAGAAGATCTGTTACATAATCTCTAAGGTGCCTTCTCACTTTCCACAGTTTAGCTCCTCCTGCCTGGGGAGCCCCAGGCTTCTCCTAGGGCCTTCCTTCAGGAAAAGCCAGGCAATTTAGTCGGAAGGAGAGGGCAGGCCAGGCAGCTTCTCACTCACTGACGGATAAGCAGCACTTCAGAAGGACGGTGAGTATTTTCCGGGCAGAAGAGAGCAGCATCAAGATTCTCAAGAGGAATATCAGGAACAGAACAACAATCCTACTCCAGAGCAAGGTGTGCCTGCAATATCGCCCGGCTCAGCAGGGAATCCTGTGTTCACTTGTGTGTTTTTTTACTTTTAAACTCTTTTGCATAAAAACACAGATAGAGCCTGAAATTCTAGCCTTGTATTCCAGGTTAGGCCTTACCGCTGCAGCACCTGGAATCATTGGGGTGCCGTGCCCACAGCATTGTCAGTGATTATGGATCCACAGCTGTGCCAGGGGAGGGACATTCAGTTTCCATTTCCAGCCTCCACCTCACCCCACACACTCCCATTGCTACGAGGTTCCATTCTAACTGGCAGTCAGCGCCGTTCTCTAGGAAATAACTGATATTCCTGCTACCATCCCCAGTCAGAGAACCAGGTATGCCAGAGAAGCAGAGGATTTGGGTGGGGGACAGTATGTGTGGTAATTCTCCCCAGATTATATCCTTGGAAGGCAGAAAAAACCAAGAGATATCTTGGAAAAGCATACACGCTAAATGGTCCATCCAATTTTCATCATGGTAAAGGCAGGTCCTGGAAAACGAAGAAACAACAGGGCATCCATGAAGGTCCCAAGGATTGTGTCCCTTGGGTGGTGAATGAAAGTAAGTGATAGTGAAGGTCACAAGGGCTCCTCTTGGAGGTTACCCACACCTTTGTGAAGGAACTTGGTGTCATGGTTTCACACATTAAATTCCGTTTATCGAATGAGCTGTATTAATTTATGGGCCAAAGAAGAGACAATCACATCAAGTTAATAGGTACTTCTTAGTGATCTGGGAAAAGGTAGGGGGAAAAAAAGAAGTTATAGATGAGAATAACTTGGGGTGCCTTGGGAACTCCTATAACCCTTATCCACACTTCATAACGTCGGAGACAAGCTGGAATCCAACGGCCTTGTGGGTGAGAGAGCCATGGGAATGTGGTTCAGCCTGGGTAAGTCACCACCCTTCCTCTCCTCTGTGATACTCACGTCCTGTCCCCGTCTCAGTGTAAATGGAGACCCATGATGGGCTTGAGATGCAAGGACAATGATACTGCTAAATAAATTCCACACGTGCTGCGGAGGAGCAGGGGAGGGGAGGAGCAGGAAAGATTTCCAAGAAGGGACTTTGGGCCACGTACCCAAATTTAATGACAAGCTGACCAGAAAAATTGAAGGCTCTAAAAATGGCTTCCATCTGGTGAGGTCAGAAAAATCTCTAGGCTCCATGACCGAAGAAGTCACAAATTCCAGTCTGCAACACCCGACTTAGCAACCTCCAGGTGACGTGAAATCCTTTCTGTTACTCTGAAACAAGTAGCTTTTTAAAATTTTAAGATAACTAAAAGAGAACCCAGAACTGACCCACATCATCAGCCTTGAAGGAATGTATAAGAAGCCAAAACAACCCTGAAACTTTCCACAGAGTGTGACATCAGTGATTAATCACCCTTCAGACACATGTCTGCCATTCTCTCACATTTGGCTAGTTTTCACTTCCAAAAAGGCAGTTATAAATGTATTTGTTGTCTTTCTTCCTTCTCACCTGATCTCTATTTCCATCCTACTCTTATTTTTCAGTTTCCTTGCCCTTCAACACCAATTTCAAGGTAGCGAAGAAAGATCACCTTTCGTCAAACCCCTGCACCATACTCATACTCAACAGAAACAAAACCTGGAAGAGAAACACAGATAGTTGCTTTCCTCACTTTTCTGAATCAGACGACAAGCTTACTTAACTTCATTCCATATTTTTCTCAGATACAGTATTTAAAGGTCACACAAGTACATGACTAAGTCCTCAAATCTTACCCTCAACTATTAGTGCTAACAATTACAACCACTTAGGATTCACCAGAGAAAGTCCAGGGTTCCTTACTTAGCTGTGAGTCAAAAATAGCCAGAACATTCCATTGCCCCTCCGTTCCTTTCCCTCAGAGTTTAGACGAAGGTGTCCTTCAATCCTGCCGGACTGGGAGCCAGTTAGTGAAGGCCCCTTGAGTTGGGAACCACTGTGGTGGGTTCTGGCCCATCAGCTTCATAGTGCGGCTCCTGAAGGAGCAGGCAAGATCCCATTTCTCTCCGGGGAGAGAGACCAAATAACCAGCTGCTTTTATTTAAAAGCAAAAGCTGCCTTTCAACTGTATGAAGTTTGAACAACCAGAGAAACGGGTTTGACTGAAGAGGGAGGCAGACCTCCTAGCTGAGATGCCCTCCACTCTCTTCAGCCTCTCAGCCTCTTCCCTGAGCCCTTCTCTGGGATGCAACTGGGTCAACTTTTCTCAGTACAGTCCTGGGGCTCTGGGCAATGTATTCAAACTCAGCACAAGGCCTTATCGTTTCAATCTGCTTCTGAATAGATGTCTGTAGGCTGGGTGGAGACAGAACTGCTTTTTAGGTGAGGGCAGACTGAGGGAGCCCCAGGGGAGTCCCAACCCCTCAGATACCATTGCCCTGCCCAGCCCATGCCAGTGGGTGGCTTCTGAGGGGTGGCTAATCACCTCCCCCACCATCTTCCTCAGATTTGAGCCCCGGTCCTCTCTGTTCACAAGTGTCAGGTCTAAGGAAGAGAAAGGAGGAGAGAGGGAGGTGACAACGCACCCACCTCTGTTACCCTCCTTTCCTTTCAAAGCTGCTTTCAGGGCTCCGGCCTTTGGCTGAGGGTCAATGGTCTCTTCCAGCTCTGCCACAGATTTCCTAGTCCTGCCGGCAGGAGGCAGCCCAGAGTCTCTCTAAGCAGGCTCCCCGCCCCTCCTCGGGCGAAGACAGAGGGATAGCCAGGGCAACTCACAAACAAAGCAGAGTCTGGAGGGACCCCCAGAGAATTAATCAGTAGGGAAGCTGGGCTGCCACACATCTGGAAAAGCGCCCAAGTCTCGGAATTCTGCCTTTGGACAGGAAACGGACTCCCAAGAAACCCTGCTTGGGAACCCTTCGCCATGAAAGCAGAGCAAACCCACCCACTCAGACTCCCTCCGGCTACTTCCTGCGTCCTTGCACCTTTACCACCCTCTTCCTTTAGTTCCCAGCCTTGGTTTCACAAGTCTCTGAACCAGGCTTTGATTCTTTCGAGGGTCCTGGCCCTTTGTGATTGCTTCTGCATCTGCATTCTGGCTTTGAGAGCTGGCTGCCACACCGTTCCTGGCACTTCTAATGCAACGCAGACTGAGAGAATCTAACACTGTGATTCTGAACATTTTTTATTTAATTCGTTTTTGTAGCTTATGTCTGTCTGCTCAGGATGGGGCATATGCACAGAAGACGGTGAAGGGTTATTTGGAAAGCGTATTCATTTATCTCAGAGAGTACGTTCCGTTTGGACTTTGTTAGACAGAATGAGGACAGACACTGGGGCCCTGTAAATGGGGGTGGAGGTGACAGGTCCAATAGATGACACCTAAAAGGGGCAAATGTCAAGTGAGAGGTCATACTCTCACTTCCAACCACACAGAAGCAGTCTCTCCCCTCACCCTCCAAGCTGAGGTGACAGGAGGGCTTGAGGAACATCTGCCAAGGGTCTAGGAAAATCGGACTTCTTTTTCAAGAGAGGCTACAAAATTGATCACTTTCCCTCTGTCCTACATCCCGCCGTCTGGTCTTGCAGGCTGATTGGGGGGAATTCGTTGCTTCCTGCAAGTCTCCTCTACAACATTAAAATTAGCAGAGTAATTAAATACAGTCATACTTGGTTAATTCATGAGATGCAAACCTACTTAGGCCTGCGAAAGCCCAGGCAGAGAAAGGCTGCTCCAGTCCCCAAAGAAAACTGTCACTTGGCAAAAATAGTTGCTAGTGTGGAGACAAGTGTCAAACACATTCCAATAGCTAAGAGTCACCAGTTAATCCGCAGCTCAGATCCATATGTAAATGAGAGCGGGGAAGTGCTACTCCGCCGCCACCCCAACACTCGCGCGGCTCCCAGGGCCCTCTCCCCATCCCCCGCACCCGCACCCCACCCCCCGCGGGCTGGCGGCGGACATCCAAAGTCGCTGATAAGTAACAGTTTGCAAACTGCAGCTCCGCAACCAAGTCAGAACCTCACCGAGAGACTGCGAGCGCCAGCCGCGCGCGTTCTGCCAGGGAAACTGAAATAAACGCGGTTCAGAGCACACTCTCTCCCCTGGCCGCCTCCCCACTACCCACCCCGTTTCCCCCACCGCTCCCTCGCACTCAGCCCTCCCAGTCTTCGGCTAAGAGAAGGTGCCAATGCCGACAGCCACTCACCTCCGCACGGGAAGCAGCAGCAGCACTTAGCCAAGAGCCACCTCAAAGAGGGACCGCGGGTGTAAGCCCGGTCCGAGCCCTTCATGCTGCCGCCCTGCGCTCCAGCATGGCCCGGGCGCCAGCGGCCAGGAAACTTCAGCGCGCGGCCGGCCGGGGAGCCAGCTCCCTCCTTCACGCCCTCCCTCTCCAACCGACGCGGCCGTCCGCGGACTTTCTGGGAGCCTGAGCCACCTTGGGGAGTAGGGGAGGGGCCGGCGAGGGAGGGGCCCGGCGGGGAGGGAGGGCCTAAGGGGGCGGAGTTCCAAAGTCCAGCTGTTTGCTGGAGTCCGAGCCAGCGGGGTGGCCCAGAGCCTTACGCAATACACAAGGGCAATGCCGCCTGTGGCTGCAGGCACAGGGCACGGGTAGGGAGCAGGATCTGTTGGACACACAGCCCCTGGCACAAAACGGGTGCGTCTCCTGTGCAGCTTCCTCTCCTCAAAGGCCACCACGGTCAGCTTTAGCATAAAACACACAACCAGGTGACGCCAAAGACGTGGGACAGGAGCAGATTTAGGATCAAGACTCAAGAATGCTTTTTTTTTTCTCCAACAGGTTCACCCTCACCTTCCCCTCAGCCTTCAGACTTGGACAACTTCCTCTGCATTGAAAACACCCTCCTATCCTTTTTCTTTCCCTCCCTTTTTTTAATTAAATGTTTTTATTAATTTAAGAGAGATGAAGGGAGAGGGACAGAGAGACAGAAACATCAATGATGAGAGAGAATCATGGATTGGCTGTCCCCCTGCCCACCTGCCACCAGATTTCCAGCCCCCAATCCAGGCATGCGCCCTGACAGAGAATCCAATTCCAACCTCCACATTCATGGGTCATGCTCAACCACTGAGCCATACGAGCCCGGCTTTCCCTCTCCTTTTAATATTTCATGTTAATACTACTAACAGTGCCTCACTTTTTTATTGGCTCCGGGCTGTAATGATGTTGTGCGAATGCACTCTGGATTTGGAATCATAAAACCAAAGTTCAAACCTGTTTTGCCACCGACTAGCTGTTTGATCTTAGGCAAGTCACTTCACTCTTTTGACCTTCAATTTAATCATTTAAAAATATTTAATCATTTAAAAAATATTGCTAATGGAATTTTAAAAGACACATCCAAGGAAATACTGTTAGAGAGATGTTGAATAGTTCCAGTTAGTGAAGCCTGCAGAGAAACCTGAGCATCTTATGGTAGAAGACTTCCACCCCCAACCACACCCAGTGGAGCTGCCATTCCCTTATTCTGTTCCATTGATTTCTTCTTTAAATCTTTTTCACATTTCAAGGCCAAGCCCATATTCCCCCTCCTCCCATGGACCACATCAACTGAACCTACCCAGCAATCACACTCTTGGGCATCTCTCCCATTCCTTTGTGTCCAGATTTAGGAAAAAGGGATTGCTAGGAACATACAACACTCATAGAGTACAGAGGGCTCATTCATCAGAAAACAGGGAAGTTTGCTCTAGCCAGCGTGGCTCAGTTGGTTGGAGTGTCATCCTGTACATCAAAAGGCAGCAGGTTTGATTCCGGGTCAGGGCAAATACCCAGGTTGTGGGTTTGATTCCCAGTTAGGGCACATATGGAGCATGTACATATAGGAGGCAACCGATGGATGTTTCTTTCTCTAAAAAAAAAAAAAAATCAATAAAGAAACCAACACAAACAAACAGGAAAGTGAGAGGAAGAAAAAACAGAAGTTTGATCACTGAGGAAACCAATTCCCACCTGAAAGAAAGGCAGCCAAGGGGCAAGACTTGTAGGGATTACCAAGGTAAGGACTTTCTTTCTCAGTTTTAACTGTTTAGACTTGTGCTTATCTATATACATAAAAGCCTAAGTGACTGGTTGACTGAATGACCAGTTGACTGATCGCTATGATGCTCACTGACCATGAGGGGGCAGATGCTCAACACAGGAGCTGCCCCCTGGTGATTAGTGCACTCCCACAACAAGAGTGCCACTCAGCTGACCGATCTGTTTAAGAGGCCTACCAGCCTGATGGCAGCCACTCACTCCTTCAGTAGTCCTGTAGGTCCAATCTCCAGAGAATGGGCCAGGCACCGACAAACCAGCGCTGCTGGCATGATCCCGACAGTGCCACCAACCTCCTGGAAGTTGGCCTCGGGCACCACTGCTGCTTCCCCTCCCTAGACACTCCACAAGGAAGAAACAATATAAAAGTGGCAGCTAGGTAGCTCCTGACAACCAGTGCAAATGTCAGCGGGATAGATCCAGATTCTGGGATGTCAAGGGCATCCCACCACTGCCCAGAGGGCCAATCACATCCCAGCCCCTCCCCCCACCCTCCTTGGGACAGGCACCAGATGCAGGGACTCCTGGGACTGACTGGGCACGAGCCTGAGGCAGGCACAGCGGGGCCAGGATGAGTGGGAGCAGCAGGCAGGAGCTGCAGGCGGTGTTGGACAGGTTTTGGCCCGATCCCTACAGGCCACCCTGGGGCACCCCACCTGTGCATGATTTCATGCATCAGGCCTCTAGTTTATCTATATGTTGCAGCATCTGCCTCACAGTTGGAACACGTAGATGCTCAGTAAATGATAGTAGACAATTTAATGAATAACAATCGCTACCATGTATTGAGCATTTATTTGTGCCAAGCAGTTCCTGATTGCTTTCTATTAATTCATTTGTCTATCCAGTGGTTGGCAAATTCATTAGTCAACAGAGCCAAATATCAACAGTACAACGATTGAAATTTCCTTTGAGAGCCAAATTTTTAAAACTTAAACTATTTAGGTAGGTACATTTTTAGTAACTTAATTAGGGTTCTCCTAAGGCTTAGGAAGAGCCACACTCAAGGGGCCTAAGAGCCGCATGTGGCTCGCGAGCCGCAGTTTGCCGACCATGGGTATACGAAAAACCTTATAAGGTAGGGACCTCTTTTACATCTGAGGAAACAGAATGAATGAACTATGATGAGATTTTGATGGTTTATCTCTAAAAAGTTCCACCTCATAGGCAAAACAAAATCTAAAGTCAAATTCTAACTTCTAGTTCTACCCCTGCCATCCCCCAAGGCCCCCTCCCCCTGCCCCCCGCCAAGAATTACAAAAGAACCGCATTGCTGAGCAGGAGGTGCTCCACATACCAAACAGAGAGATGAAAGTTCAAATTGCTTATGCAACCTGCATCCTGATTCCGGATTCCCTGATCGGCCCATTGGCCCTTCTCATCTTGCCAGCTTGAGTTACTGCAGGATCATAGTTATCCTGGGTTTCAGTTCTGACCCACAGCAACCAGTACTATTGTCTAGTTCTCTCTTCCATATCACCAAAGATAACACCCATTTTGCTGTTCTTTGCAAGCCCAGAACAGAAAATGGCCAGCACCTTCAGTTCTTCTAAAAGTGAATTTTAGCCTTAGCCAGTTTGGCTCAGTGGATAGAGCGTCAGCATGCGGACTGAAGAGTCCTGGATTCCATTCCAGTGAAAGGGGCATACCTCAGTTGCAGGCTCCCGGCCCTGGTTGGGGGCATGTGGAAGGCAACCAATCAGTGTGTCTCTCTCACATAGGTGTTTCTCTCTGTCTCTTCCTCTCCCTTCCACTCTGTCTAAAAGTCAATGGAAAAAATATCCTCGGGTGAGGACTAAAAAATAAGTAAATAAATGAAAAGAAATAAAAGTGAAGTTTATTTGCTTGTGATCCACTGCATGGGGGCTATGATACACAAATGGGTAGATATTTGGTCTACCCACCCAACCCATCTCTTTGGATACTATGTGCCCGGCTCTGTTCTAGGCAGTGGGTATACACTGGTAAGCAAAAACACTCCCAGCCCTTGCAGAGCTGGCCACTAGGACAGACTTTCCATGAACATGAAGGAGAGGGGAATCGACATCAGATGTCTGGCCAAGGTTTCAGTTGGGGGATTTAAGAAAATAAATCCTGTAACCTGCCTGCATCTAGATGTTTTAAGGTGATGTCCTGGGGACAATTTGGAGGGGATAGTAGGTCAATGGTCTTTAAACATGGTGCTCATTAAAGTCACCAAGGAAGCTTTTAAAAACACTAGGCATTAGTTGTTGTTTTTAAGCTGTCCAGATGATTCCAAGGTGGAACTAAGATTAGGAACCACTGATGACAGTTTGTGATCTGTGCTCACTTCTTTCGATGATAGCACCTTGCTTTTTCTTTAAGGAACCAACCTCTCCCTCCGTCATGTTTTTGGGCAAGGCTGACATCCACCCATCCCCCACCCCCTACTCTCCAAGGATGGCCCCTGACCTGCACTTGGCCAGTCAGTCACAGGGATTGTTTCAGATTTAGAACATGATCCAATTTCAGCCAATAAGCAAACCCATGTGACCTTAGCAACAACTACTAGGAAAGCAGCTTCCTACAAGATTTCTAAGTTGGTACAATGTTAGACTAAAGCAGCTGGAGGCCATGTTGCCATAACCACATAGAAAGAAGCTGCCTGAGAATAAGGCTAACATAGAGGAAAAAGGTGAGAGAGAGGGAAGAGGAGAGAGAGGAAGCGAGGGGAGAAGAGGTTTGGCAATATCATCTGAATAACTAGGTATACTTTTTCCCCCAAGCATTATTAATCCCTGGACTTTATTTAAGCCCCCCAATAAACTCCCTTTTTTTTTTTGGCAAAAGACAGTTGGATGTTTATAATTTCAGGGTTTTCAAACACCTAGTCACCCACTTCCTAAATTCAGGCTGAGAACCCTGGAGCTATAGCAGTATCTTTAGAGTGTTCTTAACTTCTAAACACATGGCTGAATCTTATTCTCATCTTCAGCAGAACTTGTCTTTAGTGATGCCTCATTTTACATGAATTAGGTGTTCTGCCTACTTATGTGTCCATTTCATGTCTCATTCCCATTCCCCACAATAGTGAACCCCAAAGAGTTCTGACGGTCCCAGCCTGCAGACATACTGGGTCAGGTCTACCACATGCTGGGCCTGATACTGGGGACTAATAGGACAGCTCCCCTCCCTCCCCCCCCGTGCCCCACCCCCGCTCTTTACTCCCACTAACTAGTCACAGGCTTCACTAATGCTGGACCATGACCTCAAAACCAGAAGGATTATTCCCTTCAGATTTATAGGAACAGAGTTTTTCAAGTCACACTTCCCCATATTTCTTAGTGAGAACTCAGTCCAGAGACGAAAGGCATAGAACTGTGCTAAACCTCCCGTGAGGACCTTCTTACT